GGTTAGTTTAAATTAGACGTTTTTTTTTTGGTCGAAGTTTAAATTAGATGTTGGGTAGCTCGGATTTTACACTTTTGTCCATGCATGTGGAAACTTTTTAATGGACATTCAGGGACTTTTAGGGTAAACAAGTTTACTTAAACTAGGAACATCTATTTACTCTACATGATAGTTGATATATTATTTCTTTAATCATTTTCATGACAAATTTCTAGTTGATGACCGTGACGTAATGAGAGAGGTGATCGATAAAATGCTCTTTAGTGCTAACATGATAGAAAATTTCTAGTGAATGCGCTGGCTTATTTGGCAGTCAATAATGAAGATTAATAATTTTTCTTGGACAGCTAACGCATTCGAGGGCTTCCGTATAACCGCTACGGCAATCACAAATGACATGAGGACATCCTGGTTAATTTTGTTCTTGGATTCTTTCACTTTGCAATCTATTCCTTCCACATTGTTCTCAAACATATGCTCAAGTTCTGCTCTAAATAGCAAATGGTATCCCCTAAAGTATTCGTGTTCTTAAGATGCTATTTGTTTTGCAAAAAATTAATGAATTGGAAAATATTTTCTTGAAAATGGTCGCTTATATCGCTATAAAAAATGACAAACAGAAAATATTTTCATCGTCCACAAAAATATTAAGATATAAATTATTGTCGAAAATTAAAAAAAATTTCATTGGCTAATTATTTCAAGCGATATAAACCATTATTTTTAGGAAAATAATTTCCAAACAATTCATTTTCTACGAAACAAGCGGAAGCTTAGTCTCTTTTTCGAATTCAGTGAACACATTCTTAGCTTCAACCAAAATTACCTTCAAATTTTCACGTTCTCTCTTCGAAAACTCTTTATAATTGCACAGTGCTTTTTCTACTTATCAAACCTTCAAGCAAATGACATTGGAAATCCATGGAGCATAGGCTTATTTGAATGCAATGAACACAAGACAAATGGTTATAGCATTAACCGATTCTGATTAGTAGAGTCCATTTGTACGTCATAACTCTATCATATGTCTTCAATAGCTTGATTTATCTGCTAAAAGTTTTTAAAGAAGACAACTTCTCAGGTATTTTTTAAGCACTTCAACACTCACGTCCCAGTTATAGGTTTTTTTTTTTTGTGTGGTCAAATCCCAGTTATAGTTGATTATATAAATTCTCTAAAAGAGGAAGGTGGAATTGGATTCCTAAACCCATGCTTTTTAAATTTAAAAAAATATACTGTCATCGGCTCATTATGAGAGAATGCCATGGTCTAAGAAATAGAATCAGAATATATTATGATATAAAATTGGATGACCTTAATACAATTAACAGAAATGTTGCCAAGTATTTAAAAACAACATTACAAAAGTCAGAAACTCAAAGTTATGGAACCTTAGGCATATTGTGATCTTTTGCCATTTTATTTGAATATTTTTCCTAAGCATGTTTATCTCAGCCGCCTCTGCATGTGATGTATCATCTGCAACCTTCACTTATTTAGCGTTTAGGGTGTAGGGTTTTAGGGTTTTATGGTTTGGGTTTAGGGTTTTACAGTTTAGGGGTTAGGATTTACGCTAAGTATGTATCGATTGTTTAAAGACGTTACGCTGAGCTTGTTTCTCTAAGATGGCCTTGTTTCTCTTTTTGTTTCAGAAACAGAAAAAGTAGATTTCTTTTTACTTCTTGTTTTTATTCCAAATCTATTCCCCTGCCACTAATCTATTATGGAGAATAGAAAAATTAACTGACGTACACATACGGAATACTGTTGTTTTTCTGTTCCAGGGAACAAAAGAACAGAAAAACAGAGAAATAAAATTGTTACAAAACGCACCCTTAGGTACTCTCGAAAGAAAGTATTTCACTCACTCTATTAAATCACTGCATGCGAAGTATTATCAATTAAAAGAAAACAATCAAATTCTTAATATTTGACTGCACGATTATTGGCTTGGTTGCGAGGAACGTGGTCCTTTCGGATCGATTAAGTACTCCTTCTGTCTCACCATAGGTCTGACCATATCCCTAGTCTCAAGTGCAATGCAAAGGCTCGAACTTTCAGCCATCGGCTCCCTTTCCACAGGCAAGGAATATCACTTTCCTCCTGCAATTGAAGAGCCAAGAATGCTCCATCTCAAGAAAGAAATTCCCAAGACAAAGCCAGGAAAGAATCTGCTATTGTTTCTAGGGCTTCCTTGATGGTGAAGCATTCATGTTTACAGCCCCACAAGTCCCTTTAGAACCAACAGCTTTGCAAGAAAAGAACCAAAACCTTAACATGCAGAGTCTATAAACGCATCAGCCGCCACCACCAGTGCTCATTCACCTTCAATCCTCGTCTTTTGTACGTTCGCGTAAGCGTCCGCAGGTTTCCGAGGAACCTATCCAGGAATCTATTCCACGGTAGGTTCCACGGGTTCTCTTGCATGCCCCTCTCTGCCGTCAATCAAACATGACAGAAGAGAATAAAGAGGATCACACCCCAGCGATGGGTTGACCTTTGATCCACAAGAAAACGTTGAGTTAGATTGATAAATTTGAGAGAAATGGTAGCATACTCAGAGCCAAATTAATATCAAGTCAAATCCTTGGATCCGTAACAATGGTACATGACGATAGACAAATAGCTAGGTTCACAATACAAGACTAACCCTAAAATTTATCACGAAAGTGCAATTAAGTCATAAAACTTGTCATGAAAGTATCATTGAGTCCTTAAAACTTTTAAAAAGTGCAATCAAGTCCTAAAATTTGTCACGAAAGTGTAATCGAGTTCTAAAATTCTCAAAAAATGTAATTAACAAAAGGACTTGATTTGACCGATTTAACAAGTTTTAGGACTTTAATGCACTTATACCATTCAAATAAGTGTTTGCTTTCATGTCAAAATTCATTAAATGATGCAACACACATATTTCGCATGAAATGCATGGTCATGTTATTTTCCAAAATTGAATCAAATTCATATTAAGTTCCAATAACCATCGACATCTATCCACCATAAAATATCTATTGAATTAATTCCACAAAATATTAAATGGGTTAATACCACGAAAAACTCAAAATTGGTACACATGTGATAAATTTACCTTAAACTAATTTTTTGCCACAAAAAACCCTAAACTGGTACCATTATGTACACCTGTGACAAATTTATCATAAACTAATTTTTTTACCACTAAAATCTCAAAACTGGTACACTTATGACAAATTTATCCTAAACTAATTTTTTTATCACTAAAAATCCAAAACTGGTACACTTGTGACAAATTTACCTTTTGTTAAATTGGATTAATACAATAAAAAATCATATATTGGTAAATTTGTGAGAAACAAAGGGGTAAAATTCTAAACTGGTACACCCATCAACTGCCACGTGTCATCTAACTCAATAATTTGACGGTCAAATTTAACGAAAACTAACGGAGGGAAAATTTATCACAAGTGTTCCAGTTTTGATTTTTTTTGTGGTATTAATTCATATAAAATATACCACAATTTCAACTCTCGTGTAAAATGAAACGTAAAATTGGTTATTACACATTGTATCAGATATAATGATACGATAATCTCATACATCAATCTACATGTCCTCTTCTCAAATATTCACATAACTTTGCAATAAAAAAGAGGTCTTCTACTTCTATGGACTCAGCTTGTGTGACCAACATCATCATAGCCACTGACCGTATGGATCCCATCGTAGACTCCACGCAATTGACCATGATCATGTCGGTCTGCATTGACCGAGTCTATCCAAGAAATGGCCTTGTCCTTTCCGATAACAGGATATAGGAGGAGAAGCAAACAGAAGAAGAGAGAAGAATATGCTAAACAGCTTTGTGGTCCTAGACTTTGTGACAGGAACGGTACTCTCAAGTTTGGCCCGTTAGAGAAACTCATTCTTGAGCAGACTTTGAGGTACTTCAGCCTAACAATCAGGCTTTTTCAATTCCCTTAAGAAGAGGATTGCGACAAGCTCAAACTCTGCAATGCCTTGCGATCTCTTCTGGTATACAGGGACAACTCGCGTCACCTTAAAAAATTCATGCATCGGTGCATCCTAGGAACAATTTGATGATCGCCACCTTTTAACAGAGGGAAAAACTTTATTACTAGATTGTTGAAACAATTGAGTTTTCCTTGAAGTGAGCATGGAATGCATCAATCTACTCTATGCGGATGGAGCGCAATTGGATGATGCATGAAAATACGTTTGCTGGAGTTGACAGAGTTATTATAGCTGTTAGGTTTTCTGTTCATGTGATCTTTGCTTTCCTTCATTCAGCTGGGCAGAAGACATTTTCAGATGTATTGAGAGAGGTGTGTATGAGATGGAGGATCAATGCTATTTATGGCGACGAGATTTAGTAGTTGTTGTAACGTGAAGCATTTTACTAATCTTGTACAGGGAATAATTTTTAAGATTCACTGTACAAATTCACAGCACAGTAATGGGGTTTGTTCTTGACTCGAGCTTGTAAAAGGAGTTGCTGGCTATTATCTTTTGTGATGCAATGTGATGGTTTTTCTTGTCATAATAACAAGAAACGATGAGTTTTTTACTTGAAAAAATTGAAGCAACGCGTTGATAGCATGACACCACGCAATCTTGGAGTTTTCGGATATACAGGTACTTTTTTCGTTCCAGAGAAATTACTGTGCGCAAAGTGTTATCATTATCATATTAAAAGGAATTCGTTTTTTTTTTTTTTTTGGATAGATGGTCCAAACGCTCAAGTTTAACTTTAGTGTAAAGGGTCGAGGTCATCGGATATCTTTTCCATGGGCAAGGAATATCAGTTTCCTCCTGCAATGGAAGAGCCAAGAATGTTCCATCTCAAGATAAAGCCAAGGAAGTATCTGCAATTCTTTCCGCGGCTTCCTTGATTATGAAGCATTCCTCTTTACAACCCCACACATTCCTTCAGAAACAACAGCCTTGCAAGAAAAGAACCAAGACCTTCACGCACACAATGCATATAAGACATCAGCCACCACCACCAGATCTCATGCACCTTCAGTACTCTCATCTTTTGCACATTCGCGTTGGCATCCTTGGGTTTCTGAACATTCTTTCGTCCCTTTTTAATCCTCCCTTTCGCTTTATCATTGAGCCGAAACAATATGCCGACGGGGGCCAATCAACAGATGAAACCTGTCGCTTCGCTGCTTTTGCTCCTTAACTTTTGTATGTATGCCATTGTTCTGGGCATTGGTGGGTGGGCTATGAACAGAGCTATTGATCATGGTTTCATCATTGGTAACTAAAATCTCACCTCCATAAACCATTACTCAATTGTTTGCCTTTCTCATACTTCAAATGTTTGCTGCTAATTCTGGGGGAGCGCAAATTGCAGGACCAGGATTTGACCTTCCGGCGCATTTCTCGCCCATATACTTCCCTATGGGAAATGCCGCGACCGGATTTTTTGTGACATTCTCATTGATAGCCGGAGTCGTCGGGGTTGCGTCAGTCATCGTCGGAGTCAACCATATCCACTCTTGGAACGCCGATAGCTTGCCGTCCGCAGCTTCAGCTGCTGCGATTGCCTGGACTCTCACTCTTCTAGCTACAGGGTAATCTACTTTCTTCAAATATTGCCTTTAATGCTATTAATGAAATTCGATCCTAAAAGAGTTTATCACGGTGAATAACCTCTTGCATGCCCTACGATTCACATAGTTAGCACCCGTCGTTCCAAATTTTTTTTTTTTTTGGTCGGACGTTGTTCCAAATTTCAAATGCCAGTTCAAGCCTTATCATGCTAAGAGTTTGGTTTCTTCTATTTTTGCAGTTTCGCTTGTAAAGAAATAGAGCTCCGCATCCGAAACTCTCGCCTGGTAAGAATATACATTTACCTTCCACCCTCGACATATTCTCTTTTCGATCATCGGACATGTTACGATGACACTTTCTACGATTATGCAGAGAACAATGGAGGCATTCCTGATAATCCTGTCAGCGACTCAACTTATATACATCGCAACAATTCATGCTGCCTCAAGAAGAACATGAATCATTAAACTTCAGTGTTGTGTGAAGGTTTGAGTGCTTTCGTGTCGCAGTTTTTCCTCTTTTCTTCAGGCATCTTGTAAAAAACAGGGCATGGGATTGGCCTTGTGGTTCGATTTATGGTGTTCATATCTGATTTGTATAAATGAATAAGACATCAATCTCAATCAACAAGAACTTGTCAACTTTGAGAGTGGTCAAATAGGAGGATAAATGAAGTGAAGAGCTCGCATTTTTCGCTACGATAAGGATGTCTCTCATGATGATTTCAACATTGAAAAATTTGGGGATACTAATTATTACCTGAGCGATCTACTCATTTTAGTCGATGATGCCCCGATAGAAGGAACACCGTCAACAGCTCTCAAACCTGACTAAGATAGGGCTGTGGTGTCGAGCTCCACTGTGAAGGAATATTCGCAAAAATGATGGCCTCATGATACATAAACATCAAGGATATCTACTCTTGAATAAAAGATCTACTAGGTTTCTATAGTCTTGATCCACATCAACCCAGTAGCTAGGGAATATGAAAGAGGGATTCAAATAAGAAATGACTTTCTAAACAGAAAATTATCAGGCGACACAGCAGAAGCATACAAAACATCCCATATCAACAAATAAATCATCAAATCCGTCATCAGACGATATCGATTTCCTCAATCGGCTAAGGGAAGGCTAATTATTCCTAGAGAAGTCGCACAGCGCAATTCTTGAAATTCTGCCCTCCAATGTTAAAACTTAAAGATACGCATTATAAAGTTCTAATTAACCTTATCTCATACACAAACACATCCTCCTCTTTTATGTAATGGTCCTATACCACAGAAAGGAAAAAAGGACAGACACAGCACACATTTTCAAGGGAGAAAAACCAAAATCCAAAATTCATATAAAAAAAAAGTGAGCTGCAAGCGGGGGCCTGCCAAGGCTTAACAAAGTCGACACAATTCCCAGCACAACACTCAAAACTGTTTTTTTTTTTTCTTATTTCAGTCAGGTCTATCAGGTAAGGAGAAACCTAGGATTGTCTTCAAGATGAAAGCTCCTGAACTTCAAACAAAATCATTCCTAGCTTTCCCACAGCTTCATCCCTCGCCTAAAGTTTCGCTAATATTGTAACTCTGCAAAGATTAACATATAAGAGATTATCAGCTTGAGGGATACAAGATTAACACATACATGTGCACGTGCAAATACAGAGATGGTTAAAAACAGATATTTCTCCATTTTAAAACCCTAAAGGCAATCAGAAACAAATGGCCAGAATCTCAGCAATGCTAGAACCGGAAAGGAACTTGAATGCTGAAAACATAAAACAAGGGAATTGGAAATTTACCCCCTTCATCAATGAAGGGAATTGCACTCAACTAAACTTTTGTTTTGGTTGAAACCACTCAACTAAACTTAAAAAGGCTGCACTTTGCACCCCCACTTCCATTTTGTTGCACTGTAATATTCCTATTATCAACTGTTAGAAGGACAAGCTGTCCCAACAAATTGAAAGTTAGTGAGAGTAAAATGCAACATTTTCAACTTTCGGCCCCTAAATGCACCTTTCCTTATGGCACAGAGGAGGGGAAATAAAGAACTATTTTACCCTAAAGAAAAGATAATAAACATCATCAGAATATCATATGTTAGTGACCTCCATGCATGAACAGTGATTTCCAGATTTCCAAGCCACTGCTTATTGTGTGTGTGACTAATCTCTATTTTTGACTTTGAGGTGTGATCAGTACTTGAATCTAAACCAAGTGCATCCCTCGTCTTAGTAAGCCAAACAAGTTGATTTTTTAGCAGCTTGTATAGGCATAAGGGCCACAATAGGATCACCACAGGGTATTATGACTGGCAACCGAACTACAGACATTAGTCTCCAAAGCAAGTACATTTCTTTGTTTGTTTCTTGTAAGAAATGTCAGTTCAAAGCAGCAAAATGACGTTCGAAGCATTTTAATTCATATGGTTCCTCACTGATCATGTTAAAAATACAAGACAATACATGAGAAGCATAGAGTATGTGAAGAATCCACCAGATATATTCAATTTTCGCATACTGCATATAATCTAAATGAACAAACATTATAACTGTTGCAACATCCCCTATTTCCATAGTTCAAGTATCGGATTCTCAATCACCATAGAGAATTTGCATGTTTTACCGTCTAGCAACAGCTCATGGAAGCACAAGCTTGTACTATTAGAACAAACAACACTTCTTCTAGAGAGGACAGTGAAAAAAACTTCTTATTTGGCTAAATTCATGTCTTTCATCAAAGCCACAGCAATTTAATGCCAGTTCATAGCCCAATTCAATGCCTGAAAAGTTGAGAACTTCATTTACTTCTTCAAAGAAAACATGACCAATCATATCAGTTAAGATAAAAGAAAAGAAGCTCAATCCCATAAAGATAATGTCCACATATATGTATATATAACAAGTTCAGGTTAGCTCAGACATTCCCCCAGTCAGTCTTAGATTATAGGGTTCTAGAAATGACCATATAAATACAAGAGTCATTTCTCAATGTGCCATTAGAAGGATTGACAATTTGTGTTTCATGTCACATATGGGAAATGTGATACAAATAATTATTTAACAAGTTAAGTGAATGACAAGACACATTTATCGCATCTTCTAAATAGCTTATCAAACATAAATGTATTAATGCATGTGTAAAAATGAGCATATGTCCATATAAACCTGCGTGTTAAGGTGAATGTCATGTAAATCTACACAAAAAAGTTACGAGAGTCAACCCACATTACACCCATTTCTTTTACCTGTACGTCAATACAAACACAAAGAAGCCAGTCATAAACATGCTTAAACTAAATACTTTACACAATTCATCTAAACAAGTTGTGTTATCAATTGCCAGTCCTAGCCATAGGCTGTTCACTCTTAGATGTTAATAATGCATCAACATATTACTTTAGCTCTGACACCCATTTCTCCATAAAAAGGACAAAAAAAAAATCTCTGGTCCAAGCAGTAAAGCATCAATTCCTCTATGCATCCAGAAGTGTGTTATCAATTACCAGTCCTAGCCATAGGCCGTTCACTCTTAGATGTTAATAATGCATCAACATATTACTTTAGCTCTGACACTCGTTTCTACATAAAAATGAAAAGGAACAAAAAATCTCTGGTCCAAGCAGTAAAAGCATCAATTCCTCTATGCATCCAGAATATGATCAATGTGAAAATAAGTCCTTTGGACTAAGTGGATGGCCTGTGTTGACAGAGGATCATGCAATTTCATCCTCACACCAAAATAAACGCATCCTACTTATATGAGAGAGAGTGACACTGAATATGTGCATGCAGAAGCTGCGGTGTAGATGGTTTGTGAGTGGGCATGCGTGCACGTATGAGTACGTGTGTAGGGTGCGTGCATTTGTGTAGTTCTGCTTTTATTGATTCTCTACCTTTATTCATCTACTGGAGCCCATAAAGACATCAAATAGTCCGCAACAGCTCATCCAGGACGTCTTTTCCGCAATTCTAGGAGCTGGCGCCACCAATGGCTGCAGATAAACAGAAATTACTATTGAGAGTCACAGCCAAACCAGTTTTTTTTAAAATATCAACAACCAAAGCTCCAGATAGACATAGAAGTTCAAGTTAGACAGACAGAGGTAATACCTGGTCCTCGGAGGATTCACAAACCTCAAAATCCTTGGCCTTCTCTGTAGCATTATGAGTCTGACCAACCGAAACTCCTGGAGATGGCAACAATTCACCCTCCTTTTCTTTTGAGACAGAAATTACAGCACCAGATTCAACGACAGAATTTTCAACTGACACAGGAAACACTTTAGCCCCAACATTGTTTGATGCAGACTCCAACCTGATGCTTGATCCACAAACCTCAAAATCCTTGGCCTTCTCAGTTCCATTATGAGTCTGTGCAACCAAAACTCCTGGAGTTGGCAACAATTCACCCTCCTTTTCTTTTGAGACAGAAGTTACAGCACCAGATTCAACGACAGAATTTTCAACTGACACAGGAAACACTTTAGACCAAACATTATTTGATGCAGACTCCAACCCATCGACTCACAAACCTCAAATCCTTGGCCTTCTCTGTACCATTATGAGTCTGAGTAACGAAACTCTGAAGATGGCCACAGTTCACCTTCTTTTTCTTTTGAGGCAGAAGTTACAGCACCAGATTCAACTCCAGAATTTTCAACTGACACAGGAAACACTTTAGCCCCAACATTGTTTGATGCAGACTCCAACCCATTGGATGCAACTCCTTGGACCTCATCTATTGAGGTCAACAAATCCTCTTTTCCCCAAGAATTGAGTCCAATGTCAGTTTTATTTTCTATTGGAGCAGCTTCGGTCAAGTCAATAACCTTCTCGGACAGAGAGACCACCGGTTCAGCCATATTTACATCCTCACCCGGGCCACCATCAATCACTTTGGTCAACTCTTGAGGCAAAAATTCACCTGGCTTTTCCAAATCTTCAAATTGGGTCGTTTCCAAATTTTTGCTTCCTTCTTCTGCTCCAAACTTCTCCTCCTCAGTGACCAGAGACTCACCATCAGACCTAATGATGCTGGATTTTTCGTTGCCCTCATCATGCTGTTCCTTCACAGGCTCAACACACTCAATGGGAATGGGAGAATCATCTTCAAACTTCACTTCCTCAACAGTTTCGACTCCACCATTGCCCTCTACTTCAATTTTTTGCGCGGCATTGGAATCAACTGGTATATCCACTGGCTTGTTCTCAACATCAGCTGATGCAACAGGCGATGGATCACTCTTTCCCAATTCTTCACTCCCCCCGTTGAATGGGCCATGTTGGTCATGAGATTGAGATCCAGGGAACTTGGGCTCTCCGCCTTCGCTATCTTTCTCATCATGACTCCTCACTTCATCATTTTCTATCATTGTTAAATAAAAAAATCAGAGAAAGAGACAACCTAAGTATGGTTAATGTCCTTTGATAGATAAGCAGATCACTTCCAACAACGGTTCCAATCAGAATCAAGCCAAACTAGGAGATACGGCTAAATACACAAACACCCCATTTTCAGATCAAACTCAAGAAGAGAAACCTCATATTAAGCAACACAAAGAAAAGGGTTGATTTCTGTAGCAGTGAACAGTGAAGTCCAGTGAAACCCTCCAACAATAATCGACAGACACACCAATCTCTCAATCGAAAAAGGCAAAGTCATAATTGAGGGACAGATGGGTCACCCACAGAAAAGAAGACAGCAAAGTACCGTGAGCGTTGGTGTTGTTGGCGTTGGCAGAGGAAGAATCACTGGTTGGGGCTCCCTTTTCCTTCTTTTTCTTGGCAGCTTTTCTCCTCTTCGACCCCGATGGCATGATTGATTAAAGGTCTCCTCTCCCAACACAGATCTTCGTGGGTTGTCCCTAATCAGGCCCCTCAAAACGAATCTCTCTCTCTCCCCAAGAAAAACTTTTGGTTTCTTTAAGCCACCGCCCAACACTAGGCAGCGCAGCGAGAAGGGTAAGACAGAGAGAGAGAGAGAGAGAGTGAGCGAGGACTGAGAAAGGTAAATAAGAACAGAGGATTCTTTCTCCCTTTTGATTTTTTTTTTTTAGTGCAGAAAACAAGACTTGTTTAATCTCCTCAGGAGAGCTCTGACCCAAAAAAAGATTATCTTCTCAGGAGAGAGAGGCAGAGAGAGAGGAGAATACTGTATCATTGCAACTGTTCAAATCATGTAACGCATGAATCGTCATGCTGTCCTCTTGCGGAAGGCGTGTGAACGTTTCAAGAAGTCCAAGAATCCGAAAATCTGGAACGTAAAGATGGGGGGTGGGACGCTTTCCTTTTTGGATTGAGAGACACAGAGAGGGAGTGGTGGGTCGCTTGCCAACTCAGTGGGAGGTCCAGAGATCAGTGTTCGGCTGCGTGTGCGTGTGCGTGTGCGTGTGCGTGCGTAATGATCTAAGGACATCTTTCTAGATCTTGTTCCAATGAAATTATTGCATCTTCAATGCCGACCTGTCCAGATTCGGGTCCCTGCTAGGTCGGAGCATTGAAGGAGGCTGAAACATTAGGGAAAGAAAATCTCTTTCTCCTCGCACCATTAATGACCCAATTTTTTTTTTTGCTAAAACCGTTAATGACCCAATTGAAGCGTGAAGGGAAGAACACAAAAAAAAAATTGAAGGTTGGAAGAGGATGAACGAGGAACCCCGAGGCTTTTGAGGGGAAGAAAAAGGAATGGGTAGGTGTTGATATAGACTCTCTTTTTGTTTGCCGGCGGTTGGACAGAATTTGATTAGAAACTTCCAAGTGTAAAAGGTGACCTTTCTCTCCCCTTTTTTTCACTATACCATAAGTATACCTGCAAAAAAAACGAGGGTGGGTGATGGGATGTGTTTTGAATGATAATATGATTATTAATAAATAATTATCGCAACCAAGGCATAAAGGACACAATACTGATCAAGAATAAAGATCTGGATAGATAAAGTTCACCACCAAAGTATAAAGGAACACCACCAGCCACTAATAAAGTATTTTGGGATAAGAGAAATTCACTGCTAAGGCCTAACGGAAACCACCAGCCTAGTATAAAGGATTTATTGGTTCGCCACCAAAGAATTTAGATAAAGAGCTGAAATAAGAAAATCTCACATATATTCACATGTAAGTCTGGTCTCCATGCAAAAGAGATAACACTTTTATTTATAGACATGTTTTGCTATACAAAAGACCGCGACTCTTGCAATCCTCAAAACTGAAATAACTCTTAGAGTATTCACGTAAGAGAGACTCTTGAAACTGACATTATTATAGAGACTCATAGAATTAGGTCTAAATGCATTTACTAAGACCAAATGCACAGTAGCTAATATTAAACTTTCCAAATTCGTCCACTAGTTTTGGAAGCTAAAGAGCCACGTTAGAATATCAACAAACAGTCATGGAAATCGACCATAATAGCCTCTAGTCATTAGGTAGTTCATTAGCAACTTCGAAATCGATATTAAACTTGTAAATCGACATATTGATAGTTAATCGGCAACCATGAAATCGACAACTTCCCTATAGAATCGACATCTTCAACCTTGAACCGATCGAACCAAATTGTAGCCAAAATTGGCCTTTAGTTGCAGGAGTAGGGATTGTGCTAGATCAATCAACAAGACCAGAGTTGAGCTTGAGAGTTATTCGAAAGGACCTGATGCTCCCACATCAACCTCCTCAAATTGATTGAGATTTGACCTAAAATTTGATAAGCATTCATCTTCGAAAAAAAGAGAAATGTCTCCCCATTGAAAGTTGTCGAGACACCATAATCTCCTAGGAGATCAACTTTGTATGCATTCTTGCCTATTCTCTCAAGCACTCTAAATAGGCCATCAACTATGGATATGAGCTTGTTCTTTTGTCGAGATAGAAACTTTTCATTCCTCAAGTGTATCCACAAAAGATCACCCGGTTGAAAATGAGCATTCTTCCTATGCTTGTTTGCTTTCTTTTTATAAAACTCGTTCGCCTCTTCAATCTTGGGTCGAATTTGCACATGAAGCTTTTTCATCACTTTGACTCTCTCTTTAGCTTTATAGTTGACTTGTAAGTTTGATGGAATGGGAATTAAGTTGATAGGTGCGAGAGGGTTGATTCCATACACAACTTCAAAAGGTAATCGACTAGGGGCGTAACTTAGCGATTAATTATAAGCAAATTCAACATGCGGTAGCTTTAAATCCTAGTGCTTTAAAGTCTTACTCACCAAACTTTGAAGAAGAGTAGTGATGGTGCGGTTGCTTACCTCAATTTGGCCATCTATTTGTGGATGACAAGTTATACCGAATAGGAGTTTAATGCCAAGCATTCTCCGTAGGATCTTCCAAAAGTAACTCAGGAACTTGAAATCTCGATCCGGGACAATGGTTTTAGGAGCCCCATGGAGGCGAATAACCTCCTTACAGTGAGAAGCATCATCCGTCCTATGACACTAAACAAGATGTGCCATTTTCAAAAATCAATCTATAACCACCGTGATGGCATCTTTCTTCCTTTGAGTTCTTGGAAGTGCCACATTAAAATCCATACTTACATCCTCCCAAAGGTAATGTTCAAATTGAAAGTGGGGTATAAACTCTTGATAGAATTGACTCTTCGCTCTCTGACACGTCAAACATCTAGAAACATTATATGTACATCTCAATTCATCTTTACCCAATGAAAATATTCTTGAAGGATTTTGAGAGTTTTGTTGATTTCGAAGTGTCCAACCAATCCTCTACCATGTGTTTCTTGAACTATTAGCTCTCTAAAGGAACTCTTTGGCGCATGGAGTTCATTTCCCTTAAAGAGGAATCCATTCTGGATCGAATAGGCAACATGAACTTTATGTTTGCAGTTGTCAATGATGGGTAGAATCCTGGATCTTCAGCATAGAGTTCTTTTATCGAATTGAAGTAAAAAATCCTAGAGTACATAACAATGATCATCGAGTACCTTCTTGATAGTGCATCTGCTATAACATTAGTCTTACTGAGTTCATATTTTTAGACAAAGGAAAGAGATTGAAGGAACTCCACCAATTTGGTGTGTCTCAAGTTTGTGTTGGCCACTAGTATGATTTCGAGTCTCAAGATCAAAATTTAGAACAAACTATCGGGCCTCAGGTAGTGACTTTAGTAACCAAGAGTCCTTATAATTGCATAGAACTCCCTGTCATATGTAAACTAATTCCTCCTCGACCATGTATCTTTTCATTGAAATATGCTAGAGGCCTTTGGACTTGGGTGATAACAACACCAATGTCGTCTCCACTTGCATCACATTCAACCTCAAACATTTCATCAAAGTCTAGAAGGGCAAGGATAAGAGACTCACAAAGTTTTTGTTTTATAATTTCGATGGCATTGTAGGCAGCCTTAGTCCATTCGAAAGTTCCCTTCTTCATTCATTCCGTAATGGGAGCCATGATGGTGCTGAAATTCGTCACAAGCCGTCGATAGAAAGAAGTAAGTTCATGGAAGTTCATTACATCAAAAATCAATTTTGCAATTGGCCAAGCCTTCATCGCTTCCACCTTAGACTGATCGACAAAGATCCCATCATTAGAAACTACATAACCCAAGAATATGATGCTTGTAAAAAAGAACTGGCATTTCTCAATCTTTGGTTAGAGCTTATGCTCTCGAGACTTTAAAGACTTGTCACAAATGAGATACATTCTCCTCCTCATTTTAACTACAAACAATAATGTCGTTAAAATAAACAACATAAAATTGACCAATAAAGGGATGAAGGACCTTGTTCATGAGCCTCATAAAAGTGTTGGGAGTATTTGACAAACCGAATGACATAACGACCAACTCATAAAGGCATCCTTTAGTTTTGAAGGTTGTTTTCCACTCATCTCATTTTCTTAATCGGATTTGATGATAACCACTTCTCAAATTGATCTTTGAAAACACTGTCGATCCATGCAACTCATCGAGCATGTCGTTAGGTTTAGGTATGGGAAACCTAAACTTGATCCTAATGTAGTGAATAGCTTAGCTATCGACACACATCCTATGTTTCATACCTTCTTCGGCACAAGCAGGGTTGGAACCTGAACAAGAACTCAAGCTCTTCCTTAAGTATCCTCTTACAATTAACCCATCAACTTATTGTTGTAGTTCCTTGCTTTCCTCGGAATTACATCGATAAGCTGATTTGTTGGATAGAAAAGCATCATGAAGGAAATCGATTGGATACTCAATTTCTCTTATGGGAGGTACTCCGGATGGCAAATCCATCGAAAAAACATCTTCAAACTCATCCATCAAGGGTTGCATATTTTGGTACAGGGGTCTCTCTATCTCACCTTTTCGATTTCAACAATAAGCAAATCAAAAACATTTTTTTGTTTGTGAAAGTCAAATACTCATTTGATAGCATGTAGCCAGTTGACAAAGACGTCTAGATTCAGGTTACCCTCAAACTAAGGCCTCACTTTGACTTCACAATCATTCTCCTTGCGTATTCTTCTTCTCCTCCTAACTCGATAATCTTAATCGCTAGAGTTAGCTCCAGTGTCATCGGATTCATCACCAAAAGTTTGACAGGGATCTAGGTCGTCACGGCGTGGTTGATTAATAGGAGGTCTCTCTTGCTACTCCCGTCTTGTCAAATTCTTCTGGATGTCGAGAACTTGCTCCATTTGTCTCTATTGATCCTCTAAGGCATGGTCACGCATTTTGTTTTGTGCTTGTTCCAAGGTCAAGCCTCTTGGAACATGATTAGTCATTTTGTTTAACTAAAGTGTGAGATGGATAACAAAGTGAATCACTAGATACGAGTTCAACTTTGAGTTCTGACACCATGTTAATGCGTGATGGGGATGTGTTTTGAATGACAATATGATGTTTAATTAATAATGATCCCCATCAAGGCATAAAGGACTAACCATCAGCTAAGGACAAAGATCATGATAGATGAAGTTTACCACCAAAGCTTAATAGAACGCCACCAAACAAGGATAAAAGGCTTTCGGGATAAAAGAAGTTCACTACTAAGATCTAAAGGAAATCCATTAGCCAAGGATAAACGATTTCTTGGTTTACTAACCAAAGAAATTTGGATAAAAAACCAAAATAAGAAATTTGCTCACTTGAGGAAAATCTCATGTATATTCAAATGCAAGTTTGGTCTATATACAAATGAAATCACACCTTTATTTATAGAATGATTATGCTAAACAAACAACTCTTGCCCGAAATGACTCTTGGAGTATTTATATAATTAAGACTTTTGAAATTTACATCATAATAAAGACTCATAAAATTAAGACTAAAATGCTATTAATCAATATCAAATGCATAGTAACTAATATAAGACTCTCCAAATTCATCCACCGGCCTTGGAAACCAAAATAGCCACCTTAGAAGATCAATAAATAGCCATGAAATAAACTAGAATAGCCTCCAGTCATTATCTAGTTGATTAGCAGCTTCAAAATCAACAACGAACTTTGACATATTGATAGTCGATCGGCAACCATGAAATCGACAATTAGTCCATTGAATCGACAACTTCCATATCGAATCGACATCTTCAACCTTGAACCCATCAAATCACATTGTAACCAAAATTGGCCTTTACTTATAGGAGTAAGAATTGTGTTGGATCAATCGACAAGACCAGAGTTGAACTCGAGAGTTGTTCGATAGGACTTAGTGATCTTGCATCAAAAGAATTCATGAAAAGAATCGTATGTACATAGAAATATCTCTTTCTTCCATGTTTTGACCCTTACATCCACGGGACAATTTGTAATTATTGAAATGAAGAGAAATTGAAACATTTATGTATTAATGTCTGTATATTATGATAGTTCAGTTGCTTCAATTTGAAAGGATTAATACTAATAAAAATCTTAAACTGGTATCCCATGATATATTAACCCAAAACTAATTTTGTTTTTTTGGTAATCGAGGATCCGCCACTATTCCCCGGGGACGAGCCCGCACAGGTAATCATGGCACTTATACCTCAAGGGAGACTAGCCCAACAACCCACCGCCAAAACCCAAAACTAATTTTCGTCTCACGAAAAATTAAAAACCGATATCTCGTAACATATTTATCCAACAACTACTTTTCGTCTCATAAAAAATCTTAAATATGTGCGTATGACCCAAATCTACCAGTCTTGTCAATGCATCCGTATCAACCCATATGGATTTTTCACAATAGATTTGTCATTCTCCACATCATATCCGTCTTACTGTCTTTATAATGTGAGCTAACATGTGTGTATATCAACGAAATATTAGAGGGAATGTTAGTGAAGGGTAGATTTGGGATAGAGATGCCAATTTTAGGTTTTTTTTTTTTTTTCTTTGGGAGATGAAAGCTAGTTCGGGGTAATCGAGCATACCGGTTTGATATTTTTTTAGACAAAAATTAATTTAGATAAACGCGTCATGTACTAAATGCCAATTTAGAGATTTTTTTTTTACGAAATAAAAATTAGTTTGAGTTAAACGTGTTACGATGGAGCGAGACAGATCTGGGTTCAAATTATTGGGTTTGGCCATCTTTTGCTCTTATGCTTGGGCTTTGTTAAGAACCGAAGCTGCCGCCTCTTCTCCTTCTTCTCCTTCTTCTTCCGCTCGAGACGCAGAGGAGCTGCAGCAGCAGCTACGTCTCTGCTCGCGGAAGCGCAATGGACGCGCTGAGGAAACAAGCTAGCAAGCTCCGGGAGCAAGTCGCCAAGCAGCAGCAGGTTCTCCCCCCGTCCGAGCTTTCGATCGATTTGGCAATCGCGGTCGCGTTGCGACTCCCGGAAGAGAGCTCCGGGAACCGCGAGATGAACTGATTCTTTTTGGCCTCTCGTTCGATTCCGGGATGCTTTCCTTGTTTGAATCGAAGTCGAAAACGGTGTGGGCATCAGTCAAAATCGATAATTTCTGGGTCATAGCTAAACTGGGCATCATGAGTTTTGATCCAGCTGCGTGGTGTGAATGCTTTCCGCGAAATGAACTGATCCCTTTAGCCCCTCGTTCGATTCCGGGATGTTTTCCTTGTTTGAATTGAAGTCGAAAACGGTGTGGGCATCAGTCAAAATCGATAATTTCTGGGTCATAGCTGATTTGGGCATCATGAGTTTAGATCCAGCTGCGTGGTGTGAATGCTTTCCGCGAAATGAACTGATCCTTTTAGCCTCTCGTTCGATTCCGCGATGTTTTCCTGGTTTGAATTGAAGTCGAAAACGGTGTGGGCATCAGTCAAAATTGCTAATTTCTGGGTCATAGCTGATTTGGGCATCATGAGTTTAGATCCAGCTGTGCGGTGTGAATGTGCTGCGGTGCTGCTTCGGCGAGCGAACTTGTGTGCAATACGCGTCTGCGAGACTTTATCCTTTTTTGTGTGATTTCTTTTTTCTGTTCTTACCGCAATTCGGGTGTTGATTATGGTTTTTGCTTGTTGTGTGGTTCTAGGCTGTGATAAAGCAGTTCGGTGGGACTGGCTATGAGCACTCCGATGTGGTGGTTATAGATGAGGTCGAAATGCAGAGACATCAACAGCTCGAGAAACTTTACCGGGCTACTCGCGCCTCCAAGGTGAAGATGGTTTTAGCTCCTTTATTTTGTCATTCTATATTTGGTGATTGTGAATGGCTTAATTCGTTATTACCATTTATAGGGGATGGGTGGGGAGTATGGTCTCTAAGATGGTCGAGTCAATGGTTGCGTCTGACCGTAGTTGATTAGATAGATCTAGTTTCCTTGGAATCTCGGAAATGAATGCTTCAACTCGGTAATGTGGTGGGGCTAATTCCAATGTAAAGCTAGACCCTATCTGCTATTATGTACAGTATGAGACTATTTATTTAATTGTGGTGAAGCGAAATGGCTTGGCTTCATTATGGGAATATATGAAGGTTTCCTCCTGAAGTATTATGAGGAACGGTTGATTGACAGTGTCATTGAGAAAGCCATTTCGAGACTGGTGCTAGCTTTCGTTGTCGTTGAAGGCTTAGCAAACTAGGGAAGCAATCAAGATGACCTATGACAAACATGATGCACACTACAAGCTTATGACGACCAATGATATCTAGTTACCTAATAAAATGCTATCTGTTAAAGTAATTTGATTGTGGTACGTGCTCCGCTGGTGGCATTACCTCCCGCAACTAATGAAAGTATTGATAAGACCATTCTTGCCTGCCAAATTGTGCCAAGTGAGGCACCAAAATTTTATGAAGGCAGGGAACATAATGATGTGTGAACATCTTCCAGTGATTGAGTTTGATGTACTGACCATTTATATATCCATACAGTAGCTAGTAATATCTGGTGGTTTCTCCACCTATGTGCTTAAGTTACCCATTTAGAGTTGCTATGTTCATATTAATTACAAACAGTTTATCTTTGTTGGTTAAATCTGTGTAGTAGTATGGCTATGATAGTACTGTTAAGTGGTTTAAATTCACCTACACATTACAAGTAACTATTTGATAAGTTCCAAATTTGAGAGAAAATGAAATAGAGAAAATAATTGGTATGACTTGTGAGCATGTGCCCTTACGCAAGGAGGTCATAGGTTCAAATCCATGTCTGGAAGGTAGACTTATTTTTTAACTTCATGGTTCTGTCTTGATGGTTAAGGAACGAACTTCTATGTATGTTTGATTCTCCACAATAATAAGTACAAATAATCTTATGTTGGGCCCCCTCCAAGCTTTGGGTCTCATCTTGCCTGATCCACGAGGTTGGTAAGGTATTCATGGGACCGAACACAGAAGGCACAGTAAAATAAAAGACAATAAATAGAAAGAAAAATGGCGTTGATGATAAATGAGTTGACTGCATGTGTAATCCACGCATAAATGTGTTGACTTTTATTCAATGAATACAAAGAACTGGGTGATTCACTTGATTTACTGTACTTGTTAGCTGATTTACTATGGGACTTCAAAGTGTTCATATCCAATTCTTAATTTTCCTGACAGGACTTTCAGAAAGATATTGTAAAGGCTGCAGAGGGATTCACAGCTCTAGGATATAAGCATATTGAAACAGGTATCTCCTTGATCACTGCTTTTGTCAAAACAGGTTGTAGTTTCCCATCTTTTCTTCAATCAGATGAGTCTTCTGTCTGTATATGTCGTACTGTAATGTGATGGGGCCATGACTCTGAACAATTAAACTATCAGGAACCAAATTATCTGAAGACTCTTGCAAATATGGAGCTGAGAATATCCATGACAACATTTTAGCTAAGGCAGCAGCTGTATATGGCGATTCTCTTAAACATGTCGAAAAGGAGCAAGAAGACTATAATAAGCTATTATATTCACAGGTGAGCTTTCTCAGATTCTTTTGGATGGCAAGTATATCTGTAAATTCAAATTTTTTTGAAACATGGACAAAGCATGCACCAAAGTCTTTGTATCTCTCTTGTTTTTTGCATGTTATGTGAACTGAGGTTAGGTAATTCAATGACAAACGCGTAGTTTCATATATCTAATTTGACAAACGGCCTAGTTACACCCTATTATGTCTTCAAAAACTATAACTTGAAACAGTAACTCATGATTTGCATCATTGATGGTGTTGGCTGACATGACCGTGAATGTTTGGAGAAGAAATAGAACTGCAAAAGGTCATCCATGTAGCAAGCATACTGTTGGTTTTTGGAAAGGTAGGCTCTAAGTTAGCGAGGAGTGACGTTTTTGGTCTTCATCTTTTGAGGGACTATCAAAATTTTCCACAAAGAATTGAGTGATGCAAGAGGATTTGTGGGGCCACCTCCGCATGGCGGGATAGCAGCCTTGATTATTTCAGTCATGTGGAATCTATGATGTCATGGAGATTTAGTTCTCACAACGTCCGAAATGCGATTCATCCAGTGAAGCTTGCAAACCCATTACCTTTTGCTTATGGGCTAATAAATCTTTTATTAAGATCAAAGGTCAATGATTATTTGGATTACAGCTTTATAAGCTCTGTGAAGACAACATGTTCATGCTGTACTTATCACCTTTCCCCTTTGTTAGATCTTAGAACCCTTGAGGGCTATGATTACTGGTTCTCCCTTGGAAGATGCTCGTCATCTTGCTCAACGTTACAGTCGAATGAGACAGGAAGCAGAGATGCAGGTAATGAAAAGCTAGAATTTCATAGGTAGTGTTTCAGCACACACTGATTGTTGTGTTGGAGTTTTCACTTCCTCATACCACCATGATTAATTCATGTGAAGCTGTAATTCACAATTCACCTGAAAAGCTTGCAGGCAGCGGAAGTTTCTAGAAGACAAGCTCGAGTTAGAGAAACTCCAATACCTGAAAATGTTGCTAAGCTGCATGCAGCTGAAGCAAAGATGCATGAATTGAAGGCAAATATGGCTGTTCTTGGAAAAGAAGCTGCCACGGCACTGGCAGCTGTCGAATCTCAGCAACAAAAAGTTACTTTCCAAAGGCTGGTCTCAATGGTATATGATCAAACAATCTCTAAAACGATGAACTTGCTGTCAGCTCATACCATTATTGGATTTGTAATGTATCATGATGCTTACCAATTTTAAGGTTGAAGGAGAAAGGACCTACCATTTGAGAGTAGCTGCTATTCTTGGCGAAGTTGAAACTGAGGTTGGTTATATGCTTAGATTTTCCAGGGTTTGGTTGTTTTCCATCAGCACTGTATAAGTAGTAGTTTATTGGAAACTTTGTTTCAGATGGTTTCAGAGAAACAGCGGAAGGAATCTGCTCCTCCTTTGTTTTTATCAGAAAGTAGTTCGGAGAAAACAGCATATTTCTTGGCTGAGGTTTGTAATGCATTCTATTGGCTCACAAGTACTATGCTGTAATTGTTGTTTGCTGCTTCAACAGGATTACTGTTTATACTGAGGATGCACTTACTCCTAAAAAAAGTAGCTGGAGGAAATCATTTTCTTTTAAGTAGACAATATGTAGTTTCAACCAAAAAAAAAAAAGACAATATGTAGTTGAATTTCAGGGCAACCCAAAGTCCGTTTCACAAAACTTGCATAGCTAATTAGTCCACCTTTTTAACCATTGTCGATTAGATGGGCAGCATTGTCAATTAGATGATCAACGTAATGGAGTAGGGGCTCAGCTGTAGTGGCCATTGCCACCATTACCATTTACAGCCAGTTGCTGCTACGCTACTGCCGCAGCCACTGCACTTTAGATATATTAAAGGAAAAATCCATATTATTTTCAAGCCATCTTTCAAAGTAGGTTGGCAAAAGAACAAAGACTCGTTGGTAAGTAGGAAACTTGAAAAATCATAAGTATCAGAATGAAGGATTGGTTGAGGTTATATTCAGTGTATCCATTATGAAACTCTGCAAAACAAGTATATCAAGTGAGGAGGGAAACTAAGGACAGCCTCTTATTATTGAGTCTTGAACATTGTTGTGGAGAGAGAGAGAGAGAGAGAGAGAGAGAGAGAGAGAGAGAGAGAGAGAGAGAGGGTATAGATTTTTTTTGCCAATTATCTGTATCCTTTCAAGTGGGAGCGGTAAGACATATCATCTTCCCGAAGGAGTTATTATTTTTCTTCTTTTCTGTTGTCCCTCCTTTTCATCTGCTGGGTTGCTGGTCAAGATAATTCTTGGTCTTGTAATCATGCCTCATCTCATGCCTCATCTTTGTTTTCAAGCTCACTAAAACAGACTACGGCACTTTGTTCCGTTGTTTGTGTATTCTAATGCAGGCAATGCATAATTTTGATGCTGAATCAGAGAAGGAATTGAGCCTGGCAGTGGGTGACTATGTTGTTGTGCGAAAGGTATTTGTTTTCCTTATGTATTCATTTGATGGTACTCGTTTTTCCTACTTATTGCCTCATTGAGTGATCATCTAGCAAGCGAATGTTGATGCATCTAGTTAATAAAAGTGATTAAGCCATGTCATTTTGGAAAACAACTTCAATTCTCCTTTAATGCGTAGGTGATGCTCTTTTTGAAGCATCTAGAAGTTTTCCTGCGAATTTCATCTTTCGTAAACCAGTTTAAAATCACTTTTTCTAAGAAAAGCTTTCAATTTATCAGAGATACTTAAAAGATCTAAGATGCCAGTCAGTGCAGCAATATCTGGTTGTGAATCTTACATCTACTGAGTATCTAGTTTTCTGTTCTTTCCCCTCACTTTGCCATCATCTTGGCTGATTTATAATGATTTTCATTGAGGTAGCTATACATATCATCAAGCCCGTCTCTCTTCCCAATCAAGTTGTGTTCTTCCTTGTCTGTGCTGGTGATTGGAAATATATTTTTTCCTTGAGTCAATGTTGTAGGATCTTCAAGAGAAAGGGAGAGGAAATAAGCCCTACATTTTTACTAAATGACTTGAAAAAAGAGCACATATTATAGGGCCTAATTCCAAAAAAAAGCACAAATTTTAAGTCGAGGGACAATTCTGGCCCAAACTTTTTTTTGTCCCATAAAAAAGCACCAACTTTAGGTCGAGGGACAATTCTAGCCCAAACTTTTTTTGTCCCATAAAAAAGCACCAACTTTTGGTTGAGTGACAATTCTAGCGCCAATTTTTTTTTGTCTCGTAAAAAAACACTAACTTTCACTTAAATCCTAAATTTGGCTTCCATTGACTTAGAACCATTGATTATCCAACTTGACTATTCAACTTTAACAATAAATCCACATGGTTCGCTGACTAGATTTAAAGCATTATTCATTGTTTTATTCTCTGAGCCACAGCTTGAAGAATAACGGTGAAATTATTTGTTTCCTTCACTTCACCGGCAAGTCAAAAATATCTCCAGATTGAATTTCTCTGACCAGATTTCGTCATTTTGTCGTAATCTAAAGCTGTAGACCACCATCCGTCGACAAACGTCATGGACGAGATTCGTCAAGCTTACCACCATAACCTTTTTCCTCAAATAAGGGTGACTTCAGACAGAAAGTCAACGGGGGACCAAATTTGGGATCAGGGTGAAAGTTTGTGATTTTTTATAAGACAAAAAAAAGTTGGGACCAGAATTGTCAATTGACCTAAAGTTGGTGCTTTTTTATGGGACAAAAAATAGTTTGGGCCATAATTGTTCATCGACTTAAAGTTGGTGCTTTTTTATGGGACAAAATGAAGTTCGGGCCAGAATTGTCCCCTCGACCTAAAGTTGGTGTTTTTTTTTGGAATTAACCCTAGATTATAGGGCATGAGATACACTAACTAAAACCTAGTTTCCTGATTTATGATCGACCACCTACTAACTACTGACTAACGTTCATATATATAAATCCTAACTCCCCCTCAAGCTAGAGCCTGCAGCTAGCATATGACTTGTGCAACTTTCTTCAAAAGACTGACCAAAGTGCCATGTAAGCTGTGGACCATACACTAGCCAAGGGATGTGAGCACATGGATTCGAATTTGAGATGATGCCTATTGTGTAAGCCGGACCTTACATTATTGAATGTATTCCACATCATCGTCGGATCTAACAAATGCTGAGGAAACACATGATCAGAAAGTCAACAAATGCCGATGAAACACATGATCAGAAAGTTAACATTGCATTCTCACACAACCTTGATAAAATCATGTGAAAACCCAACATAAATTGCGGCGGTCATAGAGGGCTGAACATTTGACAACGGCAACTCTGCTTGTCAATGACACTTGCAATTAAGAGTGACGCCGACTGTATATTAAAATCCCTAGATGCATTGTTGAGTGTTGACCAAATTTGGGGAAGTTTCTGAAGATTGGAGCACCAACGGTACCCTAGAAAGCCCTTTTTTTTTTCTTTCTTTGAGAATTGAAAAGAACAGAAAACGAAAAAAGAAAACTAAGACTAGTACGAGCAACTAGTGAGGACCATAGCTTGATTTTGACGGAGATGCAAAACCATTGACCAAGACCGAGAAGGATGCATGGCGGAATGAAGGTGGAGAACAGAAACGTTTAACTTGTTGTAGACTTCACTGACACAATGAATGACAACTCCTTCCCCTGACGACAATGTAGAGACCAATGGTTCACTAGATAGCATTGCTCTCAGAGACAACCGAAGAGATATGAGACAGCGACAAGCAGAGGATGATGATGTTGCTCTTGAAGACAATTGGTTTTGGCTGCTCTCGAGGATGAAGACCAATGGACAAAAAACAAAGAACTTGGAATGATGACCGGTGGTGGTCTCAGTGTCGTAGTAGAAAAGATGATGCATGAATAGGATTCTTTGTTTTTTTTAAGACTGGTGACAAGAAGAAAAATAAAGCTAGGGTTTTGATTTGGATCCCACTAATCCCATGTAAATATTTTAAGAACTTCAAGAGACAGAGAGAGAAAATACTAAAGCGTGAGACATTAATGAAACCTTAACTTCCTTATTTATGACCAGCTAGTATCTCTGACTAATATTCAAAAATATGCTTCAACTTTTTTTACTATAAACAAATTGACACAATTACTCAACTGCAGTATACAAACTTTAGCATGTCAACTCAAAAAGACTAGTTTGTGTTCCTCATAATTGTGATCAATCAGTGCCGCCTTAAACATGCACCTCTATTTGAAACATGATATTAGTAATGGTTTGCTTGTCACTCTCGATATTTAATCTGTATATGGATGAAACACATTCTGTTTGCTCAACTGGGATATTAATTCAATATATCTAGGTGAATCCATTGGGATGGTCGGAAGGAGAATGCAAGGGTAAAGCAGGGTGGTTTCCATCAGCATTTGTGGAGAAGCGCCAGAGATTACCCACGAATGGTATGGCTGCAGAGGTTTACTGATCCGTACTGATCTGTCTACTTATTGTTTACTTGTCCCTGCCCATGTAATAGTTGCTGTTCATATTATATCTGTCAATAACAAGACCTCAATGCAATCTGTTGTGAAATTTGTTGCAATTCTCATTTCCTAAACAGCACGACTCTTGATCGCTATGGGGATTGATTAAGTATTGTTTGGATGATTTATCTCTTCCTGCCTTTATTGTTTCAAGCCTTGAGTTTCTCATGGATTGACGAGCTAAGTGAGAGAGCATTGTATGTGTTGCCCCAGTAGGTTTCCAAATATCCAGGACTTAAAACAATTTAATCTTGCAACAATTGCATTCAATTTGCCAAAAGATGAACCGTACAAGTACATATTCATTACTAGAATGAGATTAGAGTTGCCACTAACCTATTCTAGGTTGGTCAGGGGCTGAGCTTCCTGTAAAAGATTCTGTTAACATCATCTGGGTTGATACTAGATAAAAAGATGGTAACTTCAACAATTCTTTTAACCCACCCAATGCCCCTTAAATTCCAAGAATTCCTCAATTCAACAGTCTTCAAAATATGTGGACTCGTGAAATCTCTCACGTGGGAAAAAAAATCAATTGAACTTGGCTAAGTATGTACGATCCAACAACAAATAGATCTTGAGTTCTCACCAATTTCATTCGCAATTCACCGGTTAAATCATCCTAAAGAAAGATGTGTCTATCTTAGTGGAATATACTCAGTGATGGTGAATGGGCACTGTCAAAGCAATAGTGTTTTCTCCATGAAAGGAGGGCACACGAAGTGGGGTGATGGCCTGTAGTGGAGGATTACGATGGGTGACGGAAATTGTGGGGCAGCCACGGCACAACGATTCTGTGACAAAGTGTCGGCCCAACGACGACTCAGCTTCAAAAGGCAAACCATGACAACTCAGCTCTCCTATGACCCGGTTATAGAGAACACCCAAAACCAGAACTGGCAAGTGATTGGAGATGAGGTGGAATAGAAACAACCGTATGGTGATGAAGTGGACGACTAGAAACAGCAATAGACAAGTGAATCTCAAGCCGAGGTGGCTCCAAGCTTGCTCTAAAATCTATGATGTTGGCCTGGGCTGCAAGGACTGATCTGGACAGACGAGGTAGACCTAGACAGCGGCTCGACAAAGATGACGGACCACGGTGCTGAACCAATTGCACAGGCAACAACCTGCAGTTCTAACAGCAGCTCTAGCGAGAACGGGACGAGGTGGCCCTGAACAGCGGATGGTGACAATGGCACTACCATGACAACGACCGGTGAGGCTACATTGATGGTTCCGGCACAGTGGACAAGGGACACGAATGGACACTGTTTTGGTCTGAATTTCTGGTGGTAACTTTAGACCGACGAACCGTGATGTTTGCTTGCAGCGGAATTCGTCATGGGGGTTGTGACTGCAGGTGATAGACCAAGCTTGAACAAGATAAACTTGGGTTGAAGAGGAAGTCTGTTGGTGACGAGAGGCATGCGGGGATGAAGATGAAAGGTGGAAGACTACGGAAGAAGAAGGTGAAGCCGTGAATGAAAGAAAACGAATAGGTGAAGGAGAGAAGGGTTTGGCCCGGTGCGACTTTTCCTAGGGATGACGTGAATGTCCTCCATCAGGAGTTTTATAGATCCTCGAGTTCCTCCGACAGGGCGTTTACATTGATTCGGAAACTTTCAACTATTGATCATGGCTGAGGACAATTGTGAGTCATTTCCGATCCACTTGCCAGCTAGATGGGACCTGGTCACCCTCCAAAGCAAATTTCTCAAGAAGAGATGACACAAGGTCGTTTAGGCAAATTGATCAGAATCAGCGATATTATAGATGAGTTTTTCTCATAATCACCCCGACTAGATGCATAAATGACAACGTTTATTTTTCTGAAAATATGTGAAAACAACCTTTGGACATAAATTGAGATGTTAATGTGCTCGCTTCCTGATCTAATCTTCTTAACCGATCCTCTGCCACCATTTCTTGGTCCTGTCTTCACTTTGACGCACTTGCGTGAAGTGCCAGCAACGACGCATACGCGCCATCAGTGATCTTCATCAGAGTGTCGTGCCTTCCCTGCTCGGCAATGGCTCCATTCTTTACAACCGCAATTATATCCGCATTCTTTATCGTTGTAAGGCGGTGAGCCACAACTACAGTTGTCCGATTCACCATAACCCTGTCTAGTGCCTCTTGCACAATCCTCTCCGATTCCGCATCCAATGCACTCGTAGCTTCGTCGAGCAGAAGTATCTTAGGATTCTTCAAAATAGCCCGAGCAATAGCTATCCTCTGTTTCTGTCCCCCAGATAATTGCACTCCTCGCTCCCCAACTGATGTATCATAACCTTGAGGGAGGGAAGATATGAAGTTGTGTGCATTTGATGCCTTTGCGGCAGCAATGAGCTCATCCTCAGTGGTGCCGCCTTGCTTACCGTAAGCAATGTTGTCACGGATTGTTTCGTTGAAGAGTATAGGCTCTTGGCCTACCAAACCTAGCTGTTGTCTCAGCCAACTTAGCTTGAACTTTTGAAGCAGCACAGAATCTAAAAAAACATGGCCAGAATCGGGATCGTAGAATCTCTCTATGAGACTGATCACCGTTGATTTCCCACTGCCGCTTTCTCCTACTAAAGCAACCGTCTGCAAGAAAGAGGTTCATGGTTCAGTTTGTTATGTGTATCTGAACTTTTAATGTTATGCAACTGTGCAAGTAATTCAAATATTAACAATAAATTCCATCTTCAGTCTAACATAAGCATGTTCAATACCGATGAAGTGGATAATTTTCTTCTCCATGGAATTCTACAGTTTCTGATAAACTAGCAGAGAGAGAGAGAGAGGCTTGTTGCTGATACCTTGCCCGCGGGGATGGTCAAGGACAAGTCTTTGAAGATTTGGACATCTGGTCTTGTTGGATATGTGAAACTGACATGTTCCAACTCTAGGTTTCCAGTTACATTCTCCAGCGTAATTCCTTCATCGTTGCTCGAATCTATCTGAGGCTTGCTATCCAAAATGGAAAAGATAGAAGCAGCCGAATCTTTGGCCTTGTTAGTATCTGGGGCCAACGTGCTGCTCTGGGAAACCCCATATGCCGAAATAGTTAAAGCAAAGAACACCTGCAGGTCTCGATTGTTAGTAGTATATCAACTTGAAAAGGATTATTACATAAAAGCGAAAGGCCAAAAGAAGAATTTAATTCCAAAAATTTTGACCTTGAAAACTTCTGCAAAGGTTGCTTTCCCATGTTGCACCAGTATAGCTCCAATGTAGAACAAGAATGCATTTGTGCAGTAGAGCGCAAAGAAGGAAAAGCCATATCCGATCCCACTCACAACCCCAAGCCGGACTCCCTGCTCCTTTGGGCCTTCACATTTCTCTTCGTACAAATCCATCACCTTGCTCTCGGCACAAAAGGACGCCACTGTCCGGATGCTACCGACCGCATCGTTCGCCACTTGACTAGCTTCCTCATACTTCTCCTGAAGGTAGGAATACAGAAAGAGTCATGTGAAATCATACATGACGTGTAGATAATTGGGACCATTTAGAAACGCCAGACAGACCTTGGCATCTGCACTGAACCCCTTTAGGAATCTAGCTTGGATAAATCCTTGAGCGAGTATCAAAGGTGACACTGCAATAACTATGAGAGCCAATATCCAGTTTGCTATGAATGCTATGAGCAATCCTGCTGTGATTGTTGCTGCATTTTGGACAATGAGAGCTAATGCGTCTCCAACTACACTCCGCATTGTTGATGCATCAGTAGACAATCTTGCACCAACCGCACCACTACAGAGTTTAAAAGAAAAGAAGAAATAGTTAGGACGTTTCAATGGTGCACAACGTCCAAATTTGTCAATCACATGATCATTAACAAGCTATTATGTCGGAAGGGCAGAAGAATGAAGATAAATCTAGCATACCTTGAGTTAGCAGGATTATCAAACCAACTAATTTGTTGGTGTACAACTTTCTGAAAACTCATGTATCGTATCCTTTTAATTAACTTTCCACCAGCAATTCCAAAGAAATAGTTCTGAATCGGCACGAGTACTAGAGTGATGCATCCCAAGCCAACATAAACGAGTGCCCAGAACTTGGAATCTTTCTTTAGATGGTCAGCAGGTTCATAGAACATTTTAATAGCAGAGGACAACAAGAGTCCAAATATTGGAAACACCATTCCATGTACCGAGGCAGCAAGGGATGCAAGAATCAGTATTGGAAACTCGGGCTTGTTCAAATATGCAAGACGTCTGATGGATACACTCTGACGCTTCTCATTGTCCAGTTCAGGTCTCTCATATTGTTCCTCCTCTTCACCCATCTCAACGAGATTAATTGGACCAGGAACATCGAAGCTACGAGCAAAAGAGCGGCGGCTTCCTGATGAACCTCTGCTTATAGATCTTCTCATGGATGGTCTATTGGATGCGTTTCTGCTAATGCTTCTAACCATTGCCTTGTCGACTTCAAAACTCACATCCAGTTTAGTATCTACCAGGCCAAGTTTCTCTTCAGCGGCCTTGTTTCCTTTTTGCAAACGGATAAGCTGCGAGTAGCCCCCTTCGGGGTCTCTGATCAGCGCCTCGTGAGTTCCTGAATGTAGGATTCGAGCATCTCACCATGAATTAATTGCAAAAGAGATGAAAAGAATATGTCAGATGAGGTTGAAGTATTAGTTTACCTTGCTCCACTATTTTGCCACAGTGCACAACTGCAATGATGTCTGCAGTTCTGATAGTTGTCAAGCGATGCGCGACTATAACAGTGGTTCGGTTTGTCATTACATTCTCCAAGGCATCTTGAACGACTCGTTCAGACTCTGCATCAAGGGCACTTGTTGCTTCATCAAGTAGGAGGATTCTCGGGTTCTTTAGAATGGCCCTTGCTATGGCGATTCGCTGCTTTTGTCCACCGGATAATTGTGTTCCATGCTCTCCTACCATTGTGTCAAGCCCCTGTAGACATATTCAACCGTCAAAAATCCCCTCGAAACATCTCATCAGAAGCCAACAATAGAGTTCTGAAAGGTATGAAATCTTTCTGTTCATCTGCTTAATGGCTTTCCTGATTATCATGATTAGTGAAAACTTAGACGAACATCTAATGGGAAACTTCAATCATGAGTGGCATAGTATGACAAGTTTCTCTACCTTCGTATCTTTATGGA